AAGTTAGTTTGTATTTCTGTTATTATATAAAACTAAACACGTGCAATTACATCAGCGACAATTTGATTTGAACCTGAGCGCTAATTATCAATCACTTCCGGAAAAAACTTACAAAATAATACCAACGACGCCATTGCAATTTTACATTTAGATTTAGAGCAATTTATGGTTCGATTACGATGGGAGTATTATTTTTATTTCATAACCTGTTAAAAACAGCGAAAAATGATTTAATTATGATTGCCAATCGTAATATAACATACACTAATATAGCATTTTGTTGTGTTTTTGGTCGACGTACTATCAATATATTTCAATTTGATTGATTTTAATTTTGCAACATCGATACTAATATTAAATAATTTTCTCATTTTTTAAATTAGTTTAACAAAACCACACATTTATCGTTGTATTGTTCTTTATTTTATCGATAAAATAGTATATTTTCTGTACCTAGGTTTGAATATCTAATATATAAAATTCTCGTGTCACGGTGTATGTAATTGAACTCCTCCGAAACGGCTCGACCGATTTTCGTGAAACTTTGTGTGCATATCGGCCAGGGTGGAGAATTGGCATTTTTTTTTCATCCCTCTAAATGTTAAGGGTGGTCCACCCCAAACATTTTTTTCTACCCTACAAATAATGTTATATATATGGCAAAACAACGTTTGCCGGGTTTAAAAACTAGTTTATACTATAATCGTCTAAAGATTATAGTATAAACTAGCAATCCTAACTTATAGAGATATTAGTTAAATCGAAGAATATTTATAAATGTAAAAGATTTAATTTCAAAGCTAGTATGTATTTAGCGTGCAATTTCATGGCCCACCCGACCCCCCTGCTATACACGCCTATGATTCTACCATTTCGTCAACTTTTTACTCATCATAAGTTGCGTCGGTCTTTTTCAAACACATTTCTTATCTGACAGAGCGGAGGCGGAGGCATATTTTTTTTTCATAATCGGGCAAAAGTCGTCGCCCACTTTCTTTATGGCGGGCCCTTAAAGAGATTCATTACCTGAACGGATTACGCGGCCGCCGCATTTGATGGATGCCAGCGTTAGGGGTTCGACGTACGCTTTACGAGGGTGAAGAGACCAATAAATGCGGCATTTCACGGGGATTATATTCGGAATCGTGCCGATCGTCCAGAGCGTTAGACCTTAGATAATGTTCAAGATACATTTTTGGGTCTTAGGCGATATTTCGAGAATATTCACCTGTTTTATTGGATACTCAAGAACACTGGAAGAGCAGCGACGGCTTAAATCACACCTTCTACAACAGCTGACAGTCAACCTAACAGTATTTCATATCGTTGCATTTCGTCCGTTGAGTGAGGTAATACGAGGCGCCTTCGTAGTGTTTGCTGATACTGTCGTTTTAAGTGTTACGGACACCACCCCTCACTAACCGTCAGGGAGATCCCTTCCTCAGTATACTTTGAAAAAATAAAAAAATACTGTGGTGGGGCCACGCTACAGTCTTCGCTGTTGCACGAATGGGCAGGGCCGTCTGAAAGTATTACGACCTCACAGAGGACCGGCGTGGAGAAGTGTTATACTTCTACGTTTCGTCTTGTGAGTGAGGTAGCCGGGGCCTACTTTATTACGAGATGGCAACGCATCTACAACCGTACGGGCGTTGCAATGTTCAATAGGCGGATCGCTGATATCTTCTAACTTAAAAAAAACTGCAAACAGTAGAACTGCTGCCGCCATTACTGTATTAGAAATGGCCAGAAAAATCGGCGTCAGTGTTATCGATACGGCACGTAGCAATTAGTTGACCGTTGCGGAGGACGTCGAACAAGGGTTTGATCGTGATTGATGGTGTTTTTACGTTATTACCGCACCCTCCCCCCGCCCCGTATCCGACTTATCAGCGGTGTCCGCGTGGTGGGGTGCTCATTTCGCTAATGCGGTTGACGTCCCGTCTGAAGTAGGCAGATAACTGCGTCGGGGGCCGGTTGGCGTTAATGCCGATGGATCAAAGAAGGTTGGATCCATTGCGGGATTATAATGGGCTCTCCTTTATAGCGTCAACATGCCCAAGTTCAATTTGTTACACGGAGTGTTTATTTATTTTCTACACTCGGCGGCGCCCGCTTCCAAGTTATTCCTAAACGAAGAATAAATAACAGCTGAGCGAAATTTTTAGAGAGTTAATGTTTGAAACGATATTCAAAGTTAAGGTTGTTTCTTCTTAAGAATTATATTATTCTTACAAATAAATTTTGTAGTAATACTTTCAATGTAGACTAAAATTAAATTTATTTACAACCGTAAAAGGCGCAGAAGAGTTAATTATCATGTTTAACATACACACTTTATTTATTTTATCTAATCTCATTAACAGAAATCCACAAATCAGTTGTAAAATATATTCATGCGAGTGACCACAATTTTAGTGGAACGAATCTGTGACGACAGTCGATGATGTTTTAATAAAGATGGCGCATGTCCATTCTGCGCTGCTTTTTAAAATTGTTCCGCTTTACATCATTACATGACGTATATAAGAGAACGCGACAGATGATATGAAACGTATGCTACGGAAAGAGAGAGTAGACTAATCAATTACAACAATTGTCGCAATTTGAGTGCCTCAATTTCACCAATTGTCGTAATTTGAGCCTCAATTCGGCGCGATACCGTCATATTTTGTATACAGTATCATTGACGATAGCAATGGGTGTCACGATTTCGTCCGCTATGCGGATACAATTATCTCTATTCCATCCGAGGTGCGAATTTTCGCACGCATCGGCCTTGAAAGAGGACGCAGGCCTCAAGGATGCGTGATCAGTCCCAATTAGTGGTGGGCGATACATATCGTATCTGATATGAAAACTAGATATTAGTACAATATCCGAATATCGCTTACTGGCTCGTTCAATATCTATGTATTTTACAATAACTGATATTTCCGAAATCTGATGTACCGTGCTCGCTCGCTATACCGACACGAATCGCGATATCATACGCATTTGCCACAATATCTGATTTTTAAACAGATTTCGAGAGACAAAGCGCGTGAGATACAAATACTCACTCGTTAGAGCGGGACGGCAAGCAATGCACGATATCAGATTTTTAAACAGATTTTGAGCGACAAAGCGCGTGAGATATAAATACTCACTAGTTAGAGCGGGACGGCAAGCAATGCACGATATCAGATTTTTTAAACAGATTTTGAGCGACAAAGCGCGTGAGATACAAATATTACACTAGTTAGAGCAGTACGGCAAGCAAGGCACAATATCAGATTTTTTAAACAGATATTATGAATAAGTTAAGTAATTTTGAATCTTAAAGCCATGCAAATAAGATCCGTTTTAATTAAATACTAATCATGGTATCAACGATTACTACAAACGATATTATTAAGTATATTTTTATTGTTTTGTTTAGCCTTGAGCCGTAACGGACGACAAAGCGCGTAGTTAAGTAATTTTGAATCTTAACAGCATGGAAAAAAATTTCTGTTGCATTTAAATACGAATTACGGTATTAACGATGTCTTTAAATTTTGTTTAACCTTGAGTTGGATTGCATTGGTACCTAGCACGTAATAGTAAGGGATGCCAACTTACTACTTAAGAATTTTCTGCCTAAATTAAGGAAGAAAAATTTAAATGGAAATTTTTTAGGAGGTAAATTTTTTGTGAATATTTTTATTCGTTAAATTTTATTCATATTTTTGGAAAAAAAATAAAACTACACAAAAAGAAAAATATAATTTAATTAGTAATAGTGCTGTGCTGCTTGGGTGGAAATCAGACCAAGGCTTATGTGCTTTGTGTGTATGTTTTAAATTCTTCCGCCCTAAGTTATAATACTGAATGTATTATTTCTTACACAAACTATACACTCATGATTGCGTGTTCTAAGAATATGTTAAACTCAATTATTTTAAGCGATATATAATATGTTGAAATAAATCATTTTTATATTACTTCAATTTCTATTTTTAATGAAATTTATTTTTTTATTATTATTATTATTATTATTATTATTTAGATTTCAAGGTGGATACGGGACCGTAAAATATCTAGATATTAAAATACATAGTTTCGAAATCTGATATTTGAAATCGAAATCTGATTCAGATACGGTACTCAGAAAAAGCGATACGACCCATCTCTAGTCCCAATCATATTGGAACCGTGCAAATTTCTAATGCCTCTTGATCGTTCACGCTGGAAGTCTTTATGGGCGCATTGGGCGCGTGACGATTTGGATGGAATGTGATTTGTTGTCGCCCCACTCAAGCGTTTGGTTGGACTTTTTATGACGGACTTTCCGCAAGTTTAATTACGGAACATGCATGCATTATTTGTCCGTGTACAATTTATCATACCTCACGTTATGAAGTTATGCTGTTTATGAAAATGATATGGGGAAGCGGCGAGGAATTTGAGTAATCAATTAATTCAATCAAGACAATGAAAAACACGAGAATTCATTATACCTAAATGTTTTGCTGAAAGGAAACTAAGTATTAGAATATGCTTGACTTACCCAACTTTTTTAACTTTAAGTTATGGTAAAAAATCTTGAGAGGTTATTGATGTTTAATGTTTTTGTGTGTCTTCATGTTTAAAATGCACTTATTCTTTGGAATTGTCCTTTCTTAGAAATTGTTCGAATTAGTACAACGCAAAAAGTTTTATGTTACCATTATAGTATACAATATACAAAGCGACAAATATTATTACAAGAGGTAATAATATTTTAATAACTTTAAAGCTACAAATATGAGTCATATTGCTGATATTAATACTTAAACATCTTTTCGTAAATAACGACATATTCTGGACCTACAAAGTTATATAAAAAAAAGAAAAACATTATATTCACTCAATATTTTTGCAGTTGTTGCTCACGAACCCACACCCTCTAGCACGGGAGACATCTGCGCTGTCCAGTAAAGATTGGGATACGGGATCGCACGGATAATAAAGTGTTTACGAAAATTCCAGTGGGCGGTATGTCGCGCGGCGGCGGCGGTGCCGGCAAGACGGCGACCGCCAAGCGCGTGCCGCCCCCCGCGGTGCCGGGCGACGCGTTCGCCACGCCGCAGCACCGCCACTCGGGCTCCAGCTTCGGCTCCCAGGGCTACGCCTCCTGCGAGGAGCAGCCCTACCCGCAGCCGCCGGACACGCCGTCGCACACGCGAGGTTAGAACAGCCCTACGTAAAAAATTTTTCGTTTGTGTCAGACGTTCAGCGGTACAACGGTGACGACTTGTGTTACCGCTAACAGTGGTAGGGCCACGCAACAGTCTTCACTGTTGCGCGAATGGGCAGGTCCGTCCGGGTAAGGACTGCGAACTGACAGAAGATCGGCGTGAAGGGGAAGTGTCATACTTCCGCATTTCGAGTGGTGAGTGAGCTAGCCGGGGCCCGCTTTGTTAAAAGGTGGCAATGCATCTGCAACCCAATGGGTGTTGCTAATGTTCATGAGCGGCGGTTATAACTTAACACCAGGTGTAAACATAAAAAAATAAAAAAGCACGATACTTGCGTTAGTGCTATGCTCCTCAAGCGGGCGAGGGTGAGAGATCTGGTTGTGGCGCCTCATACGTTTCTCTTCTAGTACCTTCAACCATGCGTCTTCGTGTTTGGACTGGCGAGGCAGTTCTTGCCATTGACTTTTTAGTCTTTAGTGTAGTCATACGTAGACTGCGTTGGACTCCTTACTATTTGATGCACAGTTAAGATTTAAATTTTGGTTATGACTTCGATGACGCGCATCGTGGATAACGAATACGTGTACACGCACAATTATTCGTAATCTAGAAAGTTGCTATTGGTGTATCACAAAACACCATTATCTTAATATCAGTATATTATTCTTAAGTGGGTAGTAATAGAACATGAAGGCACTAATGACAACGCATGCTGAAGATCCAATGCCAGCGTTCCAAGAAACATCTCAATCTATTGGTAAACGAACAGTAACTAGAAGCTCACACGTGATACGAGGGTCGAGTGTCATTATCGCCTATGTGTACTCAATTATAATTAACATTTTCTTGCACAGCACTAGCAATACGATGAATTTATATAATAATTATACGTCGTATTATTTAATAGTTTGTAATTATAATAACGGAATACCTTTAATCAGTTTATTATATTATATCTTTAATTGCAAATTATCAGTTTATACGATATTATATCAGCCTATATCTTTAGGCTCTATCAAAGTGTGATTCAAAGTGATTAATCGTTTTCCTACAAACCTCTAACCATACAGCAAATCAAATATCTACTATTCTAGTATATCTGACACAGACTCTTAATAAAATCTGTGAAAGGTTCACTGAAATGATGATAATAACCAAAATCTCGTTCCTTGCCTGAGACTAGCAGCCGGTGGCATTTGTGGATCTGTATGGTCTTTACCAACGGATACGATCCTGGTGAATTGCTTTTCTCAATCTTTCTGTACATCTATTGCAGATGACCACTCGGACTACGGCAGCACGGTGTCCGGCGTGTCCGGTGCCAGCGGAAGCCTGGGCAAGAGCCCGGCCGGAGGTGGCACCTTCACCTTTCCACCGCCATCGCAGCCGCTCACGCACAAAGCAGCGGTGTACTACCATCACCAGCTGGCGCTCAGCGATGATCAGGGCATCGATATGACACAGGTGATTACGCTGTCTAGATGTAATCATGACCTTTGTACTTGTATTTTGTGTGGAAGATATTAACCCCCAACTACTGCAACCTAGAATTGTTGTAGTAGATCTAGTGAAGTAGTATCTTCTCTTAAAAATTGCCCTTCCCTCTGAAAACATTCCCCCTTACTATTGGTTAACATTATCCTGTGATCTAAGGAAGTTTTACAGACATAAATATCACGCGAACTAACACCTAGATCCGAAACAATTAAATGTTAATCACATAAGTAGTTGCCTCGTGTTGGAATCGCGCCCACGACCCCCAGCGTCGAGTGCAATACCTTGGCAACTGCGCCACGGACACAGCGGATAGATCCAGGATCCGTGTTTCTATACCTGGATCTCTCTAACCCGGATGAAATTCATCAGGGGTGGGTGTTAGTGGTTTTGGGTTTATGATTAGTACTCTAACATCAAAATTAACGACCTTTTTATATTTTTCGCATATTTTTTACTAATTTTAAGTCTCTTATACAGCTTCTTTTTACTTCTCTGTATTTAAAATGAATAGCTTTACATTTATTCAAGTAAAGGACTATTTTCGTCAGCTTCATATTTATTTCTCCATTTTGTCTCGTCTGGGCGTCTCTAATTTGAATGTTTTGCTTAAAATACACCCACTCTTAATTAATGAGCTGCTCCGAGACAGAAATTAAGTTAGTACCTTTGAGTCTGGGCAAATAAAAGCGTCACTAGTTCACTACGTTACCTACTTGTGTTGATAACTTATTAAGATTAATTTTAATGGGACAGTTAAGCAGTCAGCTTTTAATCGTCAATAGTTGCGATGTTGGTAACTTTTTCATCTGTGCGATCCTAAACCATTTATGATTTATCACATCCGATTGTGATAAAACTTTGCTGAGTTTTTCCGCGTGTCCTATCCGAATAAAAAAATTCAGTTTATGTGATTTTTATTTTTTATATTTTTTTCTAATCCAAAGACAAAAACTGTAATACAAAACCTGTTTATCTTTACATTCCGGGTCATATCTAAATTAGAATTTTCCTGTTACGAAATTATTATATTTCGTAAGCAAAATTATAAAAAAAAAAAAGTTGTGTTATGTAAATAATTACCTCAACTCAGTAGTTTGTTCTATTTTGTAATGAATATGCTTCGCCAGCTGAACACATGGATTTGCGACATTTTCACTATCGTCCCTCATCACTGTATATCTGTCTTCGCAGAGTCCGGGCCGAGACAGCCCTGGCTCGTCGTCCGGCTCGGCTGGCTCGGGCTCCCGCCACTCGTCTGCCTCGCTGGACAGCGGCAGGGCTTCGGGGCGTCTGCCCCACCACCACCACGCGGCGTGCCACTGCGGCGACACTGACAGAGTTCGCGCTATGATCTCGCAGGGGCTACCGGTAAGTACCTTCTTGCCCATTATTCTTGCTTCATTAATACCCATTTATTGTGTAGTTAGTGTGTGTTTTTTCATTGTAGCGATTACTGATTGTTTATCGGCGATTGTTGGTTTAATATTAAAATAGTTGTCTAATATCTAAAAAAGTTGTCCGCCGCTGCGGGAATCGAACCCACGTGTTTCGGATTCATATCTAAGACAACAGATTTAACATTCCATTGCCATATCAAAAATGCTTCTAGTAAGTCCATTTATGTTGGAAAATCAGGATGATAGCGTATTTACTAATAAGACTAATCACCAAAATTTACTGAGGTAGGCGACTTCTATTGTTGCATGAATGAGCAGACCCATCCGGCGAGGTACCACGCCCTCAACCAAGATCGGGCGTGAAGTGGAAGTATAGTATAATACTTTCGCGTTTTGTGATACAGCGGAGACTGTTGCATGACCGTACACACAGTAAAATCCGGAGCCCATGTACAGCCAACGGGTTTTCAGGACGCGGACATACTCCACGCGTGGCTGGCGGACATACAGATGGAGGAGTACGCGCGGCTGTTCATAGAGGCCGGCTACGACCTGCCGACGGTCACCAGGATGACCCCCGAAGACCTCACCGCCGTCGGCATAAAGAAGCCCAACCACCGGAAGCGGCTCAAGGCCGAGCTGGCGAACCTCAACGTGCCAGACAACCTGCCCGACTACATACCGGTGAGTCTAAATGTTTTCACACTGTACGTCGCCACTTACCGTGTACGATCATTGAAGGCTTAAGGTAAAAATTAATATGGAATGTTCTGAATTTGAGATGATGGTAGACAATATGAAACTTAAAAAACTGATTTCTTTTTTAATAATAATTTAATAAAGCAAGCACGCTTTTAAAGACAACCCTTTATGTCAGGGAATCATAATAAAACGGAAATACTCCCGTTCTCCTATTTAATATCTAAGGTCTTATAATTCTCAGGATTTATTAAGATTTTTAAAAATCTTACGGTCGACTCATATTTAGGATACTTTCTATTTCGTAATTTTTTCTCGGAAAGCGACGGGGAAGAAAGCTTCTAAGTACCTACTTGGATACAGAAATTTTAAAGTGTGTCTGTGTGTGTACTTCTTCACGCACGCAAGAAATTATACTCCTTTAGCGTAACAAAAGAAAAAAAAACTAAAAATCCTATGTGCCAATATTACGCGCCGCGTCGACCTCCCGGCCCTTATTTTGGCTAAAAGATAATATTGTAAAAATTTTAAGATTCTTTGTAAGTAGGTACTAAAAAATACTGCGTAATTTTGGTTGGAGGAGGGGTTAGTCTTAAAACTCACCAAGTATCACCAAGGGGGAAGAGGGGGGGGGGGGGGGGGGGTGTAAAAATGCTAAAACAGGAACGGCCCCCAAAGTCCTGCAGTTGCTGTTGGGTGATTCATTCGTTGGTTGATTGCAGGGTTCGCTGGAGGAGTGGCTTCGGCTTCTCCGTCTCGAGGAGTATGGGCCGGCGCTGGTGGCGCAGGGGTACCGCACCGTCCATGACGTCACGCAGCTCGCTTGGGAGGTAGGTCACCGTCGTGCACTTCAGACCATCATCACACACAACTCGCTTGGGAGGTAGGTCACCGTCGTACACTTCTGACCATCATCACACACAACTCGCTGGGGGGTAGGTTACCGTCGTACACTTCTGACCATCATCACACACAACTCGTTGGGGGGTAGGTTACCGTCGTACACTTCTGAACATCATCACATACAACTCGGTTGGGAGGTAGGTCACCGTCGTGCACTTCTGACCATCAACAAACTCGACTCGCTTGGGGGTGGGTAGGCTACCGTCGTACACTTCTGAACATCATCACACACAACTCGCTTGGGAGGTAGGTCACCGTCGTACGCACCACACACAGCTCGCTTGGGATTTCTTGTTTTAGAAGGACACATACTCAAACACATGAACACATCCATGACATAGTAAAATTAGCTATACGTTTAATATGATTTTATCCTCTATGTCTACCATTACCATTTGTTAGTTTATGTCGAATTATATTAATTTTATAAAATTACTTTACAATTTGTTACGTAGAACCATATCTCTCTCCTCCAAGGTTCCCCTGAAAACCAGCATTCGCGAAGATTTGTCACTTGGTGATCCAAATGACTGTATCAATGCATCAAAATGGAGACCATTTTGTTTTCTGTGTACAAAATAAACGTTTTTTACATTCTAGCGGCTGTTTTCAATATCCAATCTACTGATAGGTTTGGTATCTAGCGATAGGTACTTGACGTGACTTTAGCTCCGTAATACGTCAAAATTCTATCTACAGTAACCAAATCTATTCGTAGATAGAGTATCGAAACCGGCCTTAAGCAACTTTGGAGAATTACAATGGACAGAACATTTACGACGATGACACCAATTACAGGACTTAGAAGACATGGGAATAGTCCGACTCGGCCATCAGAAGAAAATCCTATTGGCCATCAAGCGAGTGAAAGATATCAGAGCGGGGAAGAGGAGCATCAGCAGCCAAGGTTCACTCGACTTCACGAGGAACCAGCCCGGCCAGGTCTGTACCTTCCCTATCCCAACTTTCGATTCGTTTGTAGTGATGTTTTAGAACTAGACTATAGTTACTACCTAGGACATAAACCCTATCTGTTTTTCTCTCGCAATCCAATATACCTTCTGTTTTCGTGTGTATTGGTCATACAGAGATTGATTTAATTTTTTTGTTTCTGAAATAAAGCATCACTCCAAAAAAGATTTTATTGTTAATAATGATTTTGTTTTTTTTTTTTTTTCACTTCATCCATCCGCCATCTTGAATTTATTTACCGCCAAAACATCTCTCGCCTCCACAGTATGTCTAACGTTTGTTGATTAACAGTTTTGTCACTTTTCGTATTCTGAAATAACTCTTCTTTCTATTTTACTAACGGCGTCTAACTTTAACGACTAAATGCAATTAAAAAAAAAAAGCTTGAAAACTCTCCCGTCTAAACGCATAATACGTAGGGATAAGGCCAGGTCAAAGTAAGGCTTTAGTTGTTAGATCAGTGTTTAAAAACATAGCACATAACTCGCTAGAGAATTTAATTTGCTCAGTCGTAATTTTACCATGGACACATTGCGGGAAAATCAACGTCCGCTCGGACGAAATTGGCGCGAGATCACATCGCCATTTTGATGCCGTCCATTCTAAATTCGAAAATTTTCCCGATGCGTTCAGAAAGTCCTACGTCATTTCGCTTAGACTTTTAGCAGTCTATTTCCATCGCCATCTCCGTCGCCTGGGTGTTAAGCGACTCTGCGATTGTTTATTATTAAATTATTAAAACAGTTATATTTTATGGTACCCTTGCTATTTAATTAAACGTTACACATTTGTGCTGTTTCGATTGAATTGTCGTGTAATGTATAATTCGACGTTTCGTAAGTACGCGCAAGCATGTAAGAATAAATATAAGGATGTGCAAGCGTCTATTTGAATAAATATATTTTGAATTTGAATCTGTATAAACTAATCTATCGGATCGCAGAGCTGCCCAACCCAGGCATTCCACCACATCCATCGCTGCATCCACCTCATCACTAGTCCGAAAGCAGCATGTGAATGTTTTGTTTTCTTTTCTTTTTTCAAAAAACACGAAACCGCACATTGGACATTATCGGCTAAAGGATTTATATCCGAGGGAGCTACATTACCAGCCCTGGGAGGGGCACACGAGGAGTTACCATAAACCCCCAGACCTAAACTTTGACGCCCTATCAACGCCCCTATGTGGCACAGACTTGGTTCCTATCCAGGTATGAGAAAACATCCTTTGGCACAAGTCTTGTCATTTTATCTCGATCGCACCCAACCAGCACCCGGCTTTACGTGCACCCGTTTTTGTTTTTACTATTGTAATTGAGAACGCATTGTTATCGATGTTTTTGAACCGAATGAAATTTTAAAGTAACATTAAAGATGTGTAACCGGATCATTGCGAAACTAGTCGCGCAGTGACAACCTTTGCCTGCACGGTAGATATTTGAACTATGTACTTACCGCTGTCGATTAACCTTAACAGCTTAACAGAGCATGAACCCACTGTCAGAGCTAACTAAAATGTAATGAGTTCCCTTAACGGTACAATAGAGCGTTGTCGACTAAAGCATGAGAATCGGAACGCAAACAGAAACTCTCCCAAGAGGGAGTCTCGCAAAAGTCGAGCCATGCGATCGTTCGGCCGCGTACGGTGCGGGTCTAATAACGCCCCGCCCCGCCCCAGATCCGGCACCCGCGCGGCAAATCGCTCGAGAGCCTCGAGGACCCCTCCGAGCGCACGTCGCACAGCACGTTCTCGCCCGAGGCGTGCTACGGCCAGTGGAGGCGCTCGTACGACGACGGGGACATAACGCCGACGAACGAGGCGTACGAGGGGGGGGGCACGCTGCCGCGGCCGCGCGGGCTGGTGCGGCCCCGCCCCGTGGCCAAGATCCAGGCGACGCCCGCGTACAGGGAGTACGCGTACGACGAGGTCGCGTACTCCGCCCGGCTGCAGCGCGTCGCGTACGGCGCCAGCCCCCACGTGGCCCGCAAGCCCCCCCCGGAGCCCCCCAAGCGGCAGAGCTCGCAGTACGCGCCGTTCCGCTTCGGCCAGACGACGGCCGAGGTGCACCCCGAGAGGAGCCTCCCGCTCAGCCTGCCGGCGTACCCCAGCTCGGACTCGCTGAGCGTGTCGCTGGACAGCACGGGGCTGCTGCCGCCGCCGCCGGCGCCCCCCTCGCCGCCGAGGCGCTACGACGACGACAAGCTGCGCACCGGGTCGGACGCGAGCTTCAAGGTGAGCTTTCCAGGTTGTACCTCCGGTGCGGCAACGGAGTTCCATTGGAAAACCCTCCTCTGTTTTTTTTACGTGAAAAGTTGTCAAGCGGGCAGACGATTCACCTGATGTTAAGTGAATAACGCCCATAGACATTTGCTACACCCGAGGGTTGCAGATGCTTCTACACCCGAGGGTACAACCCTTACAATGCTTTGACAACCTTTTGAAAATTGGGCTCCGGCCACCTCACTCACCAGACGAAACGCGAAAGTATGTTACTTCTACTTTACGCCGTTTTTCTGTGAGGTCGTGTGTACTTACCCGGATGAGCCTGCCCAGAATGTGCCTGTCCAGATGGTATCTTAATGCACTCGCTGTCTCTTTCTCTATGTCTCAGTAGAGGGTATTGTAAAGCTCTGCTCTAACGTAGTCCGTCACGCGACGCATGCAGGGTTTCTCAAGATGTTTCACTTCACGTGCAAGTTATAAATCAGCACTTAAAATTACATGTAATAATTTCACTGCTGCTGGCATCGACATTTAAACAGAACTTCCTCGATTATATTGAACTAAAAGTAAGACCGAGGAAAATCAGGACCCTGAGCTATCGTGGTCCAAGTTCATATATTATTCAGTAACATCTGAAAGCGGACCCGCTTTAGAATTGTGCGTCCTCACGCCATCTACCGTCCTAGCTCAGTTAGTTTATATTCTCCCGTAATTCCTATCAGACCTTACCTAACTTTAATGATTCGCGAGTAAATTAATTTCAAAGCAGTAATCTCGACCTGGACGGTCGATCCCTGCGAAACGCACTTCTAAGCAAGGCTAATCGATAATCTAATCCTTGCAATAACTTTGCGCGGTATTCGATTTGTGGAGCGGCGAACATCGTGCAACTAGTAGAGTCCACTGGTTGCACGAAGGTATATCTGGTTGCGCAAATATTCCTCCTTTTTTCGCTCGTTTGGTAACGAGGCAGCTACGTGGCCCTACCGCCGTAGACCCCCATCTACTTTTCGTTCGTCCGCCGGCACACATTACCGACGGGGGTGTATTCCGCAGTCGAGCTCGAGCACGGAGTCGGACAGCATACCGTTCGCGAACGAGAACGCGGGCACGATCAAGCAGAACCGCGGCCAGCCGGTGGGGGCGCGGCCGCACGCAGAGTACGGGCGGGCGGGGCTGCCCTTGGGGCTGCCGCCGCGCCCTGAGCGCGCTGAGCGAGCCGAGCGCGCCGAGCCGAAGGGCGCCGAGCCGGCCGACGTGCTCAGCGACATCGGCAACATGCTCGCCAACCTCACCGACGAGCTCGACGCGATGCTCGAGGAGGAGAAGCGCCAGGGCCTGGCCGACTCCTAGAGCGGCCCGCGCGCTCAGCGCTGGATCGCTCGCGAGCGCACAGCGAGTGGCGAGAGACGCCCCCGCGCAGCACTCCCCGTTTCCCCGGCCTCGTGATCTAGCGAAACCAAATTCCAAAGAATACCACCACTCGTTACTTCACTAGAGATCGTGTCGTTTAGAGTTCGGAGCCTGGACCGCTTTCTACGAATACGTGTGATGATGCTTGTGAATGCAGGGTGATAACTGTATGTAGAGTTGACTACTAGTTGATTACTAGATGAACTGACGTGTACAAGTAACGATTGTTTAAACGGACCCTTTTAATGATCTGGCGATTTGCGACATGCTATGTACTTGCCTTTTATTTTCCGCCACCCGTCTGTCTGTCCACTGTCTTATGAACTGTGTTTTCGAAAAAGAGATACCGAACATTCGGTAAAATAGTGGAACGTCCGAGTTGATTTCGTGTATTGTTTGACCACGTGTCATTGAGTTACATATTTTACTTCTAAGCGTAAACTGTATGTAATGCGAAACGTTCAATGCATAAAATGAAACGTATTGATTAATATATAGAAATAGTATAAACGAACGTTGACAGATAGTTTTCTTGGACCTTATTTAATGTTAAATTAGTTCCTTATTTAACTTTGTAACCATACGCGGTTTATTTTATTTTTTTTGGGGGATTACGAAAATTGCTAGATGTAGGTCGGATCCGAAACAAATGAAGATGGCTATTTTTGTAAATAACATTTTACTTAAATTATGTCATAGATAAAATATATCCGGTAGCTAGTTTCCCATGTACAATAAAATGTTAGTTTAAACGAGTACGAAGTAGATTGGTCTAGTTAGAATTTATACAAAATGATAGTTCTAGACATAGATTTATAGGGATTTCAATGAATGTATAATATAATAGCCCTTCGTATAACATAGTGATAGACGTTGAATGTCAACATTCTTGTATTCCGTAAGGACATGCGTGTTTCCATCTCGTTTTGTATAAAAACAAATTGCTACACCACATTATGAATTCCTCTCCTCATCCATTGGCTTTCGCTAACGAAAGAAACGCTTCACGAAACGCTATCCTTACGTTCTAAACGCGTGTCCACTTGTGATAACCAGTGGCCATAAAGTATAACTCATAACATTACTAATAGGTAAAGATGAAACGTAATAAGTCCCAATCCAGCCTCAGCCAGTTCGAAACTCGAAGCAAGATTCGTCACTAACTGGGAGTTAACAGTTATTCTAACGATGATATGAAACGTAGCGTAATATGAAATATAATAAGCATTTTTTACTGTAAATATCTGTTATAGAAATTGGATGTTCTATACACTCTTCTTTGATACCTAACAAGTCATATTTGGACATTTTGTAACTACCTTTCCTACCTAACTCGTTTCAAAAGGAAGATTATGCCGCCACTCGTGATGTTTGTAAAGTGTATTTTTTTTAATCTGTTAATTTTAATATCGCTAGAATAGGAAGGTGCTAAACACAATGTCTCAATCGAAACTGTATATTTTAAAACAAGCGAAGGTTTTTAGTTTATTATTTCTCTTTGGTTGTCGTCTAGTCAAAATTTTCCATCGAGTGGCGGCAAATGGTAAAATTCAATGAATTAATATGTGTTTCTTGGCGACAATATGGGTGTGAGAGCAGCTTGAATATATCTTATTTTAGTTCATTTCTTATTTGAATAAAATATTTGTAATATTTCAATGGATTATTATTTCGCCTGACCCACTACCTTATTCATCATCATCGCCAGCCGCAAGACGTCCACTGTTGAACATAGGCCTCCCTCTTAGAACGCCACAACGAACGACACTTTGCCATTTGCATGCATCGGTTGCCCGCGACTCTTACGATGACGTCCTTATTGTTACCTTATTGTTATTGCACATTGTTTATTTCCCACTGCTGGGCAAAGGCCTCCTCTATTTTTCTTCACCGCTGAGCACGTGATAATTCGGCACTTAAAATTAACAATTTCATTGGTGCCGGCACCGGGGATCGAACTCAGGTTGCTCGAGTATATTGAATTAAAGGCGAGCGCCCGGACACTGAGCTATCACCGCCCACTATAGGTGGATTTTTATTCTTGTGAAAGCTGTCAATTGGGCTGGGCTGGCGGTTCACCTGATGTTAAGAGATCATCCATGGACGTCTGCAACACCTGAGGGGTTATAGAGATGTATTGACAACTCTTTAAAAATTGGCCCCCTAACTTACTCACCAGACGAAACGCAAGAGTATAATTCTTTCACTTCAAACTGTCTTCTGAGAGGCCGTGATACATCCACATACGCCATTACGAGCCTGCCCATTTGGCCAACAGTAGAATATGTTGTGCGGCCCTACGACGGTTGCCGTGTGGCCCTACCACAGATAAAATGTAAATCAGATTCATATCTAAAACCGATGAAAAGTTTCTAAGGATTTCTCACAATAGAATGCTGTCTGAGAGGTCTAAAGAGAATCTTCGGGACGAGAAATTTGCTCAAAGGATTCAAACCTCCTAATATGAGAAAAGAAATAACCGTTATTATAACTTCATCGATAATCAAAACTATGTTGGAGACTATCGGGGCACGAACTCAATCGCCGTTCTTATTGTCGATTACATCTTTGCAAAAATCAAAGTTCTTAATGAAACTAATATCTACATTTCTTTCTTTTCTTATACCGAGAGGGCAAGGATATCTTGCCTTTTTATCTGCTACAATGACAGTTTTCCACTGGAAGTTTATCAGTGGTTTCAGAGCTATGTTTCAATCTTTAAATAGTGTTTTCTAGACATCCCATCTTAAAAATCCGTCTGGGAGCACCATGTGGGGTAAATATGATCAGCATAAGCTTTATTATCAAAAAAGTTTTTGCCGCTTTTTACGTCACGGTTCTTCAGCTCTTGTTTCCTTCAAACGTTGCGTCTACTTTAAGACCGTGTGGCATATTTGGGTTTGACTTTGGTTTCCCACGTCTAAAGGGTAGTTCGGTCAGGGCGGAGGCGAAATTAGAGGTAGCTGAAGTGGCAAAAATAGGTACCATGAGGGCTGGTTCTTTTCTGGCTCAAGGTTAAGCAAATCCAGCGAGGAGATGCAGATAACATATTTGACAACATGCCGCATGGAATAGGTTCATTACATAACACGTATTAAAATTTGTAGACTTGCTATTCTCACTAGTCTACAAATTTTATATTGCCGTTCTTCTGTGAGGTCGTGGTACTTAACCGGACGAGCCTGCCCATTCGTGCAACAGCCGAGACTGCTGCGTGGGCCTACCACCGTGACAATATATAATAAATATGTCTTTATTGCGGACGATATTTATTGAAATGCTTTATGTATTAAACGTATAATGTATTAATACACGTACCAGTACGCATCGTACTGGTTTTGTCAATTACAGTTTTTAAAAATTTACATATAAATTTGAAATCACATAAAATCACAGCAATACTTTTTGAAAAAATAAAAAAGGTTATAAGCTTTTTATTTTAGATTTTAAAATGAATTTTAAGTGCAATTGCAGTAAAAATATTTAAAAGAATATCCTAAAAAATGCACTTGTTCTTCTGTGTCATTTTGTGTCAGTAAGATATTTTAGTCTGTACTAATTGTCATCGATGTCGCGGATTTGAGTTGCCTTGCGCGATCAATAACTTAAATTGGGTAGATTCTGAGTTTGCCGAGGTCAGAGCAGAGTTATTGATGGGCAAGGTTGGCCAGTGCAGTCATTAAGAAAATTTTAAGTGCGATGATGGAGTCTGCTGGTGCTTATGGCGGTGGAAAAGCCGGTGGAGCTTTCGACCCTCAAGCCTTCATCCAAAGACCTCCAGTAATAGTCAGGGCGGTATGTTGGGTAAGTCTGAAGCCTTAAAGATTCCCAAAACTATGTTAGGCGAAAAAAATTAATTTCCATTTAACATTTGTGGTAAATTTTGAAGAACCAAAGTATTGTTGAAAAAACTTAAACATGCATTTGATTCTCAACACGAATAATGTATTGATTCACGATCTATTTTAACATCTAATTTGCTTATATGTTAAAAAATAATGATACTGAAAATTTTAACAATTCTTTTTATATTTAAACAATCACATGACTGACCTTGAGATGTTATGTTTCGTTATATATCTTCATTCCTAAGAAAAATTTATAGTAATATAAAACTGTAAGGAAACTAAAAAGAGAGTTCCTTACTCACTGTAAGGTTTTATAGCTGGTAAAATATTAGTTAAGCAAAAGAAAAACATTTTTACCATAATTATTATTCTTCCCAATCCTGACATGAAGAATAATGTCATAATTAAAATAAATTTCTAGATTTTTAAGTCAGTAGATACTGAAGACTTAAAAATAGCAGACTTGTAATCTGTCCTTGATTTGTACACTTTGAACTTGTTCTATTTATGTGTAACATTAACTTAAATTTATTCTTGGGTGTGGTACTAATTGTTTACTACATTACTAATTCCACATACACTATCTATTTTAATAGTACTAGTTTGTTACTTTAAGCAATTAATTGTTTTAATATCATAAATAAATTAAGAAGAATAAAAATATGGTTCAGAAAAATATATTCATACTCTATTGTCATTTCAAAACTGATCAATTAATAGTTTTACACAAGCCTTGCACTGTTACTCCATTTACTCGAATAGTTTGACTCACATATTTCAAATATTAGTTACTATGCATTGAATTTATTTTTTATGTTTGAGTTGAATATTATTACTGCCTAAACCTGAACCTGAATTTAGTTGATGCCAATTGAATGCTGATTAACAGCTCTCAGTGCAATCGTTAAATTTATTGGATAGGAATTGATATAGGCTTGGTCACATGTTGGGAGTCGATGCCCTATAACAATATTGGGTCTAGTTTCTTCGTCATGTGCATATTTTATTTAAAACTGGTTAGTGCCAAATGGAAATGTAGTGAAAGATGGTAAATGTGGTTTCAGAAAAAGCTTATCATTCAGTCAAAGTCCTCCACCTTGAAAGCCTGCACATTTTATCTAGCAGAGTGACTGGAGACTGATATAGTCAAAATTATTATGTAGTCTGTCATTATCTCCCAACATCCAACATGTGGTATTGAGTTTTTCTGGTATTGTCCCTATTTAATAAAATTTTATACAGTCCCTGTACTATGCTACTTCCATTTTAATAATCATGATCACAATTTCAGCTTATAAGCTTCCACTGCTGAACCCATGTTAAGGCCTATGCCTCCAATAGGGACTTTCGGTTCAATCGATCAGAAGCGGCCTGCATCCAGGGAAGTCCCGCGACCTTAGTCTGCTCTGATTGTCAGATCATCTTTAATATTTCCCTTATCACATTTATTAATCTTTTTAAAAAGGTTTGCTGTAAATGTAGACTTCTTCTTCATAATGCCATTTGATTCCTCAGCTCTTCAGCGTCATTGTGATGGGTTGCATATCAGCCAAGGGTTGGTATATCAACAAAGAAGACGGCAAAGAATACTGTGTATACAACAATGACACTAACGCATGCAACTATGGTGTGGGAATCTCGGTGATAGCTTTTGTAGCGTCAGTAGCCTTTATAATCGGCGAATATCTGTTTGAACAGATGTCGTCTGTGAAAACGAGAAAGCATTATGTGCTTGCTGATATGGGCTTCTCAGGTGGGTGTTACATAATTATAGCTGAAAGTAAATGTTACAAATTATTAGTTTTTAGTAATTTCGCTTACTAACCATATGTAGTTTCTTACTATTGATAAATTCTTTCCATGATTAAAGAATTAAAAATATATAAATTAAATAAGATAAAGGTAATGATTGATCAGAGTAATAATTAACATTATAATATGGACATAGTCTCCCAATTCAGGTGTTGAGATGAATTGGATTTCACAAATTTCTTACGAATATTATTTGTAGACCTTTGCTAAATTCAAAGTCTCTCAAATATTATAAACTTTTAAATTCATAATCAATGCCTTAATTTCAGAGACTGGTAATTTTATAATTTTTTTAATAATACATTTAACAAAAAATATTTAACTAACATCCTCAATCTGGTAATCTAATTTTTTATAAATACTGTTCCTGATCATTTGTTTTAATAAATGTAAATAGGAGAATGTACCTGCATAAGAGAAGATGTCTTTAAATTGAAAAATGGGTTACCATTGCTTTTAATAGTGGAGAATAATTTTTTATATATACCTAACTGCATAAGTTTAGAAAGCAAATAATCTCATTTTGAATGCTAAACAATGGTTATGTAACCATTCCATTGTGGTACATATATTGCAGGTTTCTATTTATAGGTGTTTAGTATCATATCAGAGCACAAATCATTGTACCTTTGTGGAAACTGACCCGTTAACCTTTTAAATAACGATTGTTAGCAGTGACCTGTTGTTCATACATATATGTAGTTATATGCGTATTGCGCGTAATAAAATCTTTATTAGATCTCGGCAAATGCCCGAGCAGTAACTCGCGAATTGCCGAACCTTTTGTGAGGAACTTTTTATGTTTACGACTTATTTGTTGCGCATTTAAATTGAAAGTGGATTTTCGCGATTAATACCCGCGGACTAGTCGTGTTGTGACAGATATAGCTTCGTCATAAAATATGGGGAGTTCTAGGGAGTTCTGTCCAGAGGGAGATAGCTGTCCGATGTGTCAAAAAAAAAAACAAATTCAATTTCATTTCTAAATCTATGTGATGTTTTTAAGTAACTTAAACAATGTTACTTTAGAGTTACTATTTACTTCACCTATTCAAGATTAAAATGTGGTCTAATAATTTTAAGGGTTCGTGGGTGGTTTTTTTTAATGTGTGTGAATGTGTTCACCTGCTGTTAAGTGATAACCGCCGTGTGTTGACGCATGCAACACCCGTGGGTGCAGATGCGTTGCCACTTTATAATAAAGGTCCAGGGCTACCTCACTCACCAGACGAAACGCAGATGTATAACACTTCCTCTTCACGCCGGTCTTCTGCGAGGTGTTAGTGCTCCCCCGGACGGGCCTGCCTCTTCTTGCAACAGCGAAGACTGTTGCGTGGCCCTACCACGTATTGAACCATTATTCTGAAATTATAGACTAACAGCTCGAGTACAACTTAATTTTGGCTTTTATCTTTTGTTATTGAGTTAGCCTACACCCGACATGTTTGGTACGTGTTAATGCAAATGTGGTACATTGTCCTCAAACACACGTCCCACCTTTTAATTGAACCAAATGCATAGGAGCGTTCTTAAAGTATCAAGAAGTTCGCCCCTCGAAACCTTTGTTAAATATAAGGTGTAGTGGTTCTGTATTTATAAACTCTTAGGGGTCTTCTCGAATCCTAATGCTCCGAAATTACCATTCAAAAAAAACATCGTTTCCTTTTTTCTTTCTATATTTTACAACTAAAACACATTAACGTAATAATCATACGTTAAGAGTTTTGTTGCTATATTCGATAGCGTTTAATATAGACGAAAGTTATTTAATTTCCCCATGGGTCGTCAAATTGTGTCGATCGATACTACACAGAGCGAATATAACCTACATAAGTCTACTTTTAAATAGACACGACTGGAGAGGAGACATTCACATCTGAAGTGCAAATGTTCCGTAATTTAATAAACGTGCATTTCAAAGCTTACGTAAGATGCTATAACGCGTCGAGATTATTCTACAGTATTATGCTCTGCAGACGACCGAGTCCAAGTGCATCTTAGGTATAAAAATGCTAGGTTTTGCGAAATGATAGACTTGCACATGCAAGCATTTACATAAATTTTGCTTGTAAACTTTATCACACTCCGGCTATAGTAAGATATTACTATTAAAAATGGTGATGAATAGTTAAATGTTTGAACCAAGCCCTTCACTGTTAGCCCCTTTCGTTTTACCACATTATAAGAAAGAATAACATAATACTTCTTGATACAGAAATGTGCAATATTCCTTGGTGTTGCATGAATATTTTAAATGTAAAATATTTTGTTTATGAATATACAAACCTGTGTATACCTTTTGTACATCTAATATATATATATATAAATAGTCCTTTTCCATAACTTGTTTGATCCAGCAAAATTAAAAGAGTACTTTGTTGATCCACCTTTCTATCCAAAGTTACTTGCCCTTAACCTTTATTTTAAAGGCCGGAAAGCATATATTTGAACAGCGCATTGTGTCGCGTAGACAAATTTCTAAATTCAGCAATATACTCTAGCCGTTGTTTTATACTTTTCCAAAGTATTTGTGGCTCCGCGTAACGGTTTTTTCTCAGGCACCTTTTAAACATTTCTTGATCCCTGTGAGCGCGCATACGCAGCTCGACGTCAGTGTTCGTAAAATGAATTCCACAGTGTTTGTAATAAGAACTGAATTTCCATGTACATTTTCTATTGATTAAACTGTTACTATATGTCGAATATAATAACCTACATAAATATAATTGGTTATACCCTATTTCTTATTAATTAGTTTACCATAGGATGCTAGTGAATACATAATTTAATATTGTAGATATTATCGCTTGATATTAATGAATTCTTGCACATTATCAAAATACCTACTTACTATAAAGTGTATAGTTTTGTTGTTATGCTTGTTAGCACATGCAACCAGTATTAATTCGATTGAGGTGAAGCCCAAAATGCTGTCTCCTAAGTAGGCATAAATTATCCCGAGTTGATTTAAACAACTGGCGCGGCGGCGAACTATGAGCTCAAAGAATATCATACATATAATAAAAAATTTATTGATTGTTGTTTGTACATGGAAGATATTTGAGAAAAACTATTATTAGGGGCCTTTATCAACGCAGTAGAACCCAAAACAATGATAGTTAAAATTATTATCTGATTATCTGTTTGTCCGTGTGCGCTAACTTAGCTAAAACGGCCTTTCCGATTTCAGTGCAACTTTTACAAATGCATTGTAGCTAGCTTCTCTTAACATTTATTGTTAGTTTTATTTCAGTCGGATGATAAATAAAATAGTTATATCAACTTAAAGAACCACATTGTAGATTTGTGCGATGAAACTATAGTTAACTATGGTCTGTAAAATGATGGTTTATATAATGTTAAAAAAAATCACCCACGTGCGAGTTGGAGTTGCGCACGAAGTGTTCCGTAGGTATTTTTAAGCACGATATAAGGCGCAAGCTAGTTGTATAATATATTGCTACTATTGCACTAGGAAACGGATCAACAATGTAATCAAATGGTCGCAATGTAATGCGACAAATGATGTAGTGTGAAAATTTCTTTAAAGAGACGAGGATGACAATATTTTAGTTTTATTTTAACTGTTAACTGTTAAATTTGTTTACAAGTCATTGCTCAACTCATTATCAAATATAAGTTTGGTTACAAGAGAATAAATTATTATTATTTATTATGTAATCAATAGTGTTATTTAAGCTAGTGCTATTCAGTGGGTACGGAACTCTAAAAGATTATTTAAACCAAATAAAATAGATTATTAAGGAATAAAAAATATAGTTCTTTCTAGACACACGAATAAATAATAATAAGAAGAAAAAAATGAAGATTATTTCTATGTAGTCTAACCCAGAATATTTTTGTCACTTCTTGAAAGAGTTTAGAAAAGATTGCCAAAAAAAAATTCTAATTTTTCATTGTTTTATTACCAATCTAAGGCATTGAAATATGAAAAACGTTAATAAATCAATCAAGATTTTTTTAATTTTTTTGATTATTCTGTTCCTGTAAAAAAATTACTTGAATTGTTAAAATAATTATTATAAATAAATACATTGTTTATAAGATTTTCAATTTTTTTCTTTTAGGGATATGATGCTTAATGAAAATATGACATTTAAAAAAACCATTTTTCACTGCCAAAAAGGTTTTTTTAAATTACAATTTTTTGTTGCTTAGTGTTAACATTATGGAACCATTTTATTAAAATCATAATTTATCACGTTGTTACATCATAAAAAAATTATAATTTAATTCATTTTTATTTGGTTTTGTGAACAGACGCTTGTTTATAAACAAACGAATTACGAAAAATTTTGTTTATTATTGTTCTGTTTTTCTATATAATTTTTAAAATTATTGTACACTTGGACTTGTTGTTACCGATCAGGTACTCTCCATTATTGCTATTAAAATTACTCATAAACTATTGAAGATACGACTAGAACACTCCAAGTCTTATTTATACTTCAACATTATTTTTTAAATATTGAAGTAGAAGACATTCATTTTATACATGAATTAAATAATTTACTGTAGAGTATTGAAACCAATATTTTTTTATTAATTATTATATGTAAATTCTTAAATAATCTATCACGCGCGCAACGAATTTACATTAAAATATAATGGTTGTGTTGCACGAGAATCTGAAAAGCGCGCGAGCGCTAGATATTGCTGGCCCTTAAAAGCATGTATTTCAACAAATATCACATTCACGAGATACAGTAATTCTTCTTAATAAGTAGGCACTGACGTAAAGTGATGATTTCAACCAATGAATGCTGCGATTCGTCCGTTTGAATTGGATCAAATAAGTACGGAGTGGATTTGTATAAATTGTAGCTACTTTCAAAAAGATATTGACGAGCAGTTGTTGATCCGAATGGAGCCACTAAATCACATACATATGGTATGATTATTGGCAAGTAGCGTTAGACGTGTGTTCATTTATATATATCGTTCAAGAAAGGTCAGTCCAAGAAAGGTTTAAACGATGAGAAATTATGGAAAAAATGCATGGTAAATCGAAATAGAAACAATTTAATTTTCCCATACAAACTGCTCCTAACTGTCAAACATATGGGTGCCTACCGAAAATTCTTTTTCTATGTGTTCATATTCACAAATTCCCTAGAAATAAATAATATGGCAAAATAATGTTTGCTGGGTCAGCTCGTCTTAGATAAAATCCAAAATGTTATGGAAAAAATGCATAGCATATTTTCCCATACAAACTGCTCCTAACTGAAACATATGGGTGCCTACCGTAGAAATAAAATATGGCAAAATAATGTTTGCTGGGTCAGCTCGTCTTAGATAAAATCCAAAATGTTACTTAGCATAGCATATGAGACAGTGTTGTCCACTCAACTTCAAAGTGGGAGTAAGTATTAATAATGTCATGTAAAGTAAAGTAAAGTAACAGCCTATACATGTCCCACTGCTGGGCAAAGGCCTCCTCTATACAGAGGGTATCAGGGCATAGTCGCCCCACTGCGGATTGGCGGACTTCACATATCTTCACAGGTTTCCTCGCTGAGCACGTGATAATTGCTAGTGATAAATGGGATAGTATCCATCGGAAATTAGAAGTATTCTAGAATAAAATAGAATATACTTTTTTTATTGCACACAAGGAAATACCTAAAAGAGAAATACAGGAAACATAGTGTAACGCGGCCTTATTGCTAAGGTAGAAATTTCTTTCAGACAAGCTTTAATTGTTTTTCAATAATTAAATTATTCATGAGTGAATTAAGGAGTATTGATAATTTTGTACATGTTTAAAAGTTTATTGTAGTTAATTTATTTTTTACTTCGCTCGAGTAATTAAATAATACTTTATTAGCAACAAACACGGGTGTTTAATACTTTATAAGCAACAAACGTGAGTTTTAACCCACGACCTGACATAAACGAGATGCAAAGCGGTTCGTGTTTCGTCAATTATGACGGTATCGATTCACTAATTTATCTATGAGCATGAACATTGAAGATATATCGATGCTTTAATTTGATTGTTAATGTTAACATTTCGGGTGTTAACTCTGTGCTCTCAATAAAATTCACCTTAATATTTCGCATAATCCACTTGAACGCATTTAAAAGCGTTTCGAATACTTTGCAACATCTGAAGTCTAGGCACGGACTTTACGTAATGATTTTTAACAACAATCATTTACGGCAACACTCCCGTTTCTAGAAGAAACGCGGGCGAATTTTATTTTACATACCGTCAATATGTGCAAAGTCTTACCACTTCATTCATTATTCATGTCTTCGATTACAATTTCACAAGAGCATGGGAAAAGCCTGCGTTGAAGGAAAGAATTACAACTTAATGAAAACAAATCATTTAGAAAGAAATATACATTTCATCATAGATAGTAACTTTTTAAATCTACCACCGTTTCGTAATGAGGTTTCTCAGACAGAAAGAATCTCCGTGGGTATCAACTGTATGGTGATTTTTTTCACGTTTTGTCTCTGAACGTTTCAGCTTTCTGGGGCTTCCTCTACTTCGTCGGCTTCTGCTACCTGTCGAACGCGTGGGGTAAGACCGACAACCCACCGGTGGGCACGGCTAACAACATGCAAGGCGCCATAGCTTTCTGCTTCTTCTCCATCTTTGCCTGGGTACGTAAACACGTTATATTTTATCTGTATTTTACAGCCTTAGCGTAATGGCCATCATAGTGTGGGACCACACCCCACTAGAATGAGTGACGACCTGTGCAAATGTGCGGGAAGTCGATGGATGCAAGTGGCTCAGGATTGTGCTTTATGACAGTCCGTGGGTGCGCCCTATGTTCAGCTGTGGACTAGCGGGCTGAAATGATAATAACGAATGATGTAGTTATACAGCGGAATTTTTCTATCAGCCGGAAGAGATATAGACGCGGAAGAGGCCTGTCAAATAATTTTATTACTTCGTTCTATTAAGAAATTACTACTTCTGGGTCTTGTGCGAAGGATAAACAATGCGAAAGATACCACTGTTGAAGAATGGGCTACTGGCAGAAGGCCGTCGAGCAAAAGTGTTTGCTAGGTATTCGACGTAACCTCTTATAACCCTTTTAAATAAATATGATGAATATGGCAAATTGCTACTGTATTTGTTGATAACATTATCCAGTGTTGTGTAAGAGCTCTTTACAAGAGTAAATTTCACGTGAACAAACATCCAGATGCCAAACAAATGTTTGTCGTGTGGGAATCGAACCCACGACCCCCGAACGAAGCCAGTACCTTTGTCGCGGTCATCAAGGAGCCTAAGCGCTCAAGCGCTGCAGCGCTGATCTTCCGTATGTGGTCCGACGTTGACTCTGTTGCGAACGGGCCAGATCGCTTGCGCCCTGTTCGCGTTCCAGCGCTTCCGCGTGGGCGCCGACGCGGCGTTCGCGCCCGCCTACGAGGTGGAGGGCGGCGCCGGCGTGGGCAGCCCCGGCGGCTTCCCCGCCTACCCGGGCGCCCCCGACCCGCAGCCGGCCTACAGCGACCCGCCCTTCTCGCAGACCCACGCCGGTGAGTAGTGACACCCCTGACACGGCACCGCTCGCGAGACACCCCTGACATGGCACCGCTCACGTGACAGCCCTAATATGATGAAGCTCATTAGATACCTTTGACATGCATCGATCGCAAGACATCACTGACATGGCACCGATCGTAAGACACCCCAGACATTATACCGATAGTGTGACACCCCTGACATGACACCGATCGTGTGACACCCCTGACAGGGCACCGATCGCTAAACACCTCTGATATAACACCGATCGTGCGACACCCCTGATATGGCAGCGATTGCAAGGCACCACTGACATAACACCGACCGTGTGACACCCCTGACACGAAACCGCTTGCGTTACACTCCTAGTATGATCCCCCCCTCACGTGACAACCCTCATATAACACACTTTAATTCTTGTAGGGTGAAGACTTAAGTGACAAGTGGTGGAATAAATTACTTGTAAAGTCTGTAGGGGCCTATGACAACCCTATTTTTCATATATCTAACTGTATATGTAAACTTTTTTGTCTGAGAAGTTCGCAAGCAAGCTTGCTTCACGTGATGGTAAATTATATTCACTGCCCATCTGCAACCCCCGTAGGGTATCAGATGCGTTGCCAGACGAAACTCGAAAGTATCACACTTCCAAACTTTACCTTTACGCCAGTCTTCTGTGAGGTCGTGATACTTCCCGGAACGGACCTGCCCATTCATGCAACATTGAAGACTGTCGCTTGGCCCTACTAAAGAAAATATCTAGTTTACTATCTCAGCAGGTAAAATGTCAGATCAGCTGACCAATTAGAATTTGAAATTAAAATATTTCTATTGCTGCATGTTAAGAACCTAGATTATTTGAGTATGTATGATATGTGAACGCTGTCGGTCCCACTGTTGGACAAAGTTATGTGTGTACAGAGCCTATTAGAGCATAGTCCACCATGTGACATTACATATTTTCGAAATATTTTTATTGTTATTTCAATTATTTGCAGGTTTCCTGTTAAAATTTACCTTCACCTTGAATTATTAAAAGTAAACTAAGCCACTCTCACTAATGCTATTCCCAACATGGATCGTTTATAATTATTGGTTATATCTTTTCTCCTATCTCTTAATAAATTAATTTGGTGATTGTGTGAACTCATTTTTTATTGTAATGAATAAAAAAATTCTTTCAATTTTCAGGTAACATTGACTACACAGCTCCGACTTATTAAGAAATTGATTGGTTCGACGTCATCATTTATTCATTAGCAATCATGCTTTGGACAAGTAAGTCATAATTAATACATAAATCCTAAATTTTAAATAGACCTATTGGCATAGTACTACAATTAAATTATCAAATAAATTTATTTCTTAATACCAATCTAGTCCACCATATCCAATCAACCACCATATACCAGCTAATATGATTTAGGATAAAATTTGTTCGACGGATAGGCAGGATATTGACAAATATACCGTATTATTCTATTTATAGTTATGAAACATTTACTTATTATGTAATAATTATGACTTGTGTTCAATCACCAGCAATGTAATCATTAACAGTCATTAAGCAATTCAGTATTATTTTATTAAGTTTAATTACTAAATGTTTATGAAATGATAATTCGTATAATCGTCAAATAGTATATAGCAAAGTGTATTAAATCTCATTACTTGGGATTAGATGAAATATATAACCGTGCATTGCTTCACAGTACCTGCATGTAGAAACAAATATTTATGACAATATTATTCCCATCTAGTGTGGTTATACTCTGTACAAAGTGGGCCCTTCAAAAATTAAAAAATATCTTTCGACATAGTGATCTGTGAATTGTGATATTTCGTTTTGTTGTTTGTTTATCATACACCTGTTACCCCATTGTGCCATTAACCATTGACTATGAGACAGTTAATTCTTAAAATATGTGTTAGATAATAATAAAATTATTCAGCATGATTTTTATCTGCCGTTCGGTGTTGTTTCAAGTAGTCAAAGATGTTGTTATTGTGCCATCGTAATAAAAAAAACTTCTAAAAATCATGATGTATAATATAAAAGAATGTATTTAATAGAATCCTTATATTATTCAGCTTGACAAATATAGTTGTGGTAATTTAATTCATCTCGTATTAAAATAAAATTATGTATAGGTAATATAAAATTATGGTAGCATAAAATTTTAGATATCTGTGTCATTATATTATTTGTGAAAACCCATGTGCAATATTTGGTTTAGTAAGCTGGGAAAATTTATGACGTAAAATCTGACAATTTCAGTATTATAAAGTGTTGAAATACATATTTATGTGTACAATAAGCGCTTTAAGACAAGATCATAGTATTTTTTTAAATAACATATATTAGAAATGTTGCTATCCCGTAGTGAATTGTAATTATAGAGGTTTTCATTTAGGCCATCAGTCAATAATTATTCTGGTGAATTATTATATAATAGTTATATATAAATATTATATTTTTAAGGTATTCTATGCGTGAACTATTTCTAAAGAGAATCTTCCACTATGTGACATTCCTCGGTGTGGAGATAATTTTAAATTTATGGAATAATGAGATGTGCTAAGGTCTAAAAATTAGTACAAATTATTGTTTCCCTGTGTAATTATTGAAATGATACTTTTTATTAGCAGGTGAGGTTATTAGCTGCTTACAATAATATCACACAAAAAATCTAGGCATAAATTCTGCGATGAAAATTATGTTACTGTTGAACACATTAAAGCAGATTTTTAAAGATATACAATACATCAGGTTTAAATCGATATTATTGTAAGCCAGTAACAAATTTTAACTTGCATTTTGCACTGTTGTTTATATAAGGTCATTAGCAATAAACTTGAAGTTACTTGATTCTTTGGATGTACTGTTTAACATTTCAAAGACTTTGTCTTATCAAACCTTAAAATAATTTATACAGTGAGAAAATATTGAATGTCTGTTATGTTTTCTCTTAAAAATCATAATGCTCTGCATGTTGATTCTGTACATCCAAAATTGATTAATGGGGTCATATCAGTTGTGTATTAGGGCTTATAGTGTGAAGTAGTTACTTAATACATGTTATTTATATTGTTAACTGTATTCTAAAAATATTTTCGGCGATAGAAAGGTCGGATAGGAAAAATAATCTAGAGCACTTAAATGTTAATATTTTATTATAAACTGTCATACATTATAAACTCTACTGGTTGATAAAGCCTAATTGAAACTTAAACTCTACTACATAGATTGAGATTTATTCATGAACGCCCTACACGATTGTTGTGTTTTTTACGCGGTAACAAAAAATGTACACTATTTACGTACCACAATGTATCGTAGCTGCATATTGTATTTAGACGTAGATATTGTAACGCGAAAGTTGTTTAGACGTCAGCTCTTATGAGACAAAAAAAAAATATAAAAATTACGCAAAAAAAAAATATTTTAATAAGTGTTAAATAATACGCTAAATCCCTCGGTGTTTGATGAATAATGAATGTTGCGAGCTTGCTGGTCGTTCAGTTATGTTTTACTTATGTACTTATAATTATACGTCCTCGTGTTATACAAAATCGTTCTTATTTAAAGAAATTTTCTAGATGTTACTATTTATTGTATGTATAATATCAATATTCAAAATTGATCTCATGTCTGGGAAATGCAAAACATTACTAGTACGGTTCAAGGAAAATTCTACCGGGTTTTTGGTAAATACTAGAAAAGCTTTTTCAAAAAATAATTTAACTATAACTATACTAAATGTAAGCATAAATGTGCGCCAAGAAATAGAATTGGACATCACGTGGTCTAATTGTTTTTATAAACGTTAATCAGGTTATTTATTAACACTTTGAATGTAATTATTTTGATTTTGTGAATCCTTTAGTGGTATAATTTGTTATTTATACGCAAAAACATAACAAAATACGCCTAGTAAAACTGTTGTTCCATTTCATGTCTAATAGAACGCACAACCATAAAATAATTGCATTTCAAGTACCCTCCCTTTTATTTTGTTTCGTGTGCGAATGTATCGATGTAAATGATAATAAAGCGACATTATAGAAATTGCACCAGTTGTTTTAATTACACAAACTACTTCCGTGAGATAATTTATTTTTCATAATTTTAGATACAATATAATAATGATTAGTTCATTTCGGTCCCTTTTGATAACAACGCCCTCTATTGAGAGCTTGTGATCTACATAAGAATGTCGCCATCGACGCGGGAACTTCGTATGTCCAAGGCCATTACATGTAAATTAAACAAGTTTTAATACAAACACGCTATTAGAAAACTATTGGGACATAGTCATCACTAGAACTATAATTATATACATATGGGAGTAGCTTGTCGTTCTACGTAATTATAGCGATACAAAATTAGCCGAGATTTTTTTTATGTCAATCTATGTCACATTTTATTCTATGTGAATAAACGCATATCCACTTGTGTTTCTTAGGTAGTATCTAGAGCCTCATCATAAGCTCAGAGCCCAACGAATTAGACAGTAATCAAGTCACATAATCATAAAATAATACAACAGTGTAGTTTCGCATTCTTTTTATTAACTTCTGACACTTTCCCTTAACACTATAAAAATTATCACAAAAAAAAAAACAGTGAAACTGACGATTCACAGAATCTAATTAAAACACAGCAAGAAGAATATTCAATTTTTCAATATGAATTCTCGCAATGTAACAATACATAGTTATTAAATCATACAAATCTATAAAATCATACTTTTATCATATTTTACAATTTCGTTTTATTAGTAAGGCTTAACTAAGAAGGGAGAACATTATTCTACGTCAATTGAGGCAGATTTCCTATTTTTAATACCTATGCCTCTGTGTGAAACATGTTGGCATCATTTCTAAGTGGTCATAATTATTAATTTGTCAGTAAAAAATGTACTCATGGTACTTTCAACTACCAAATCCACTGGTGTCATAAAATTTAAGATATCCCTCTAGGTTCACAAGCATTGATATTTTTAAAACTAAATCAAAGCCTTCAACTTCAAAATTGTGTTTATGTTTGTTTCTAAAATGTTTATGCAATAAAATATGTTTCACTGCAATTTTATCTAACAGGTAAACTAGAGTTTCAATTACAATTAGTGTCGAAGCATAATTCAATGTTCGTTTTGTAATTGGTTTAAGATAAAGAAACTTAATTAAACTTAAAACTAGTATCACTATACCAGTATGAAAAGGAACTGAATGGATTTGTTGGATAAAGCCTGCTAACAATACATTACAAAAGTGTAATTTTTTTAATAAGGGTTTAACTTTTAAAGCAGTTTTTATGATAGGTACTACCTATTTTAAGAAATTTCATTGCAATTAAGAACTAAAATATTACAGCCAGTCAAATGCAGATATTAAGATAACTAAAATTATTGCTTTTATTTTTTGATATTGGCTAATCCCTTTTTTCAAACCGTCACACAAATATCTGAGAAATTGATCTATTACAAAACAATCATTCCTTCACTGGGATCTCTTAATACTATTATAACTATACATCATGTAACAACAAATGCAGTGGAAAATTACATTTGTTTTCTCTTATTTAACTTTATAAATTATTAGTAAACACGCTTTAGTTGTAATACTCTACATTGATCATTGCATTCTAAAGCAAATAGTTACAAATGTCAAGCTAGACTTGTTGAAATTAACAGGCCCGCACCTAGAAATAGTCTTTCTGGATGTATTTAAATTTCATACCATTCTCTAAGCACTGCCTGTGAGCCTGTACTACTTCTTGGCCTTAGTGGAGTTTCCTTGTTTGTTTGGTGGGATCCACCTCAAAGCCGAAGGGTCAACTGATAAACGGGGCTTCTTGAAATGGGAACTGGCCAACTGTTCTGCAACAATCTTTGGAGTGACACAAATCACATGCTGTCCTTTCCAATACTTTACCATATTCATGGACTGCAAGGTGGATATGATGTCTGTCTGTGATATACCTGTCATTTGGCTCAGATCTTTAATACTCAAGGTTCCTCTACTCGCACTTAATACTTCCAATAATACATATGACCAGTATGATCTGTAACTAAGTTTACCTAAGTCTGATAGTGGTTTTTCGGGACTGCCAACAACCTGTTCCAACCTTGATAGCTCATAACTGAATGCAATTAACAGCTTGCCATAGCCCTGTCTTTGGTATGGTGGTAATGTAAGTATGCAGGCCACATTATTTCCTTCTGGTGAATCTTTTTCCTTTGAGAAGTAGCCGACAAGGTGGGCTCCATGTTTATCAACTTCACACAGTATATAGAAAAGAAACTGTTCAATGTCGAAGTATAATGTTTTGTGATCGAGAAACAATTTAGCCAGCAAGCACAGATTTTGACAATAAATTTTATGCTCCTTTCCATCTGCTTCAAAGATCGCTATTGTACCCTTTCTGTATATCTCACTACCTTGTGGTTGGCGTGCTGTGCATTCGCTTAAGTGGTACCTGTAAGTCTTCTCCATCCTCATGTATTTAAGGCAATATTCGCATATCCACAGCTTCGACTGTTTACCATACTCATCGGGATATGGGCTGAAGTACCAAGTGTCGATTTCGTATTTACCAATCTGAATCCGATCAATATATTTAACTTTTGTTATAGCTTCGTGTTCCTTCTCCAAAGCAGCGGTCGTGGGGTCCATCTCGGCGTACGACTTCTGTACATGATTAATCTCGTCATGTTTACGTTTCTGATTGCGTGTTATTTTGCGCCCAGATTTGTCAGTAAGAAGATGGTCTGAATTTATGTTGTTATTGGACTGTTCGCACACGTCAAACCTATCGGACATAACCCGGTGGCGGGAAACCCACTCGTCCAATCGACGATCGTAACCCACATAGTGTACATAGTACTCGTAACAGGATTCAGCAGCATTATACCGCGTTTGTATTATCTCCGCCGGGTGCCATGACTCATCCGAACGCCGCACTAAATAATGCTCTCCAATGTCTAAAGGCTGTTCTTGCGCCGATTCAGAGTCTTCATGATCTGCACTTCTACACTCCGGGTTCGGTAATTCATTATTCACTATAGGTTTTTCTAATTCTTTATCACCCTTTGCCATGTTAAAAACAATTACAACCGAATCACGCAATACCGCGCAACATAGTTTATTAGAGCAGCCATGCCATGTGCCATAGATTATAGAGTTATACGCGCAAAAAATAAAAACGTGCTCGTCAATTATTGTGTCTCGACATCTAACTTAATAATTAAATAAAAATTCTCGATTTTATTTAACTGAACGTTAATTTTAAAACTATTTGATACATTTGTTGTTACTTTTTAAAAATCTAACTGTACTATTAATTTTATTTTCAAGGACGTTTTGTGTAAATCACTTTTTACATTAAAAAAAAAATAAAAGTAGCGTATTTCTGGAGTCTCTGGAAACTGTTGAAATTTATAAACTGAAGCAATTTTGAAAAATGAACAATATTTTATTATATCGAAATTAGCAAAGAGCACGGTAAATCACCGAATATTAGGGAAATTTTAATCGTGAGCGTAGTGGCAACATTATGTGTGTGACTACTGTGTGCACGTAATCGCCATCGGCGAAACGTCTTAGTAGTGACGATTTATTTTTCGAACATAGTTTGTTCTTATCGCTTGTTAAAGATATGAAAATTTAATATTGTTATCTTAAAACTGTGCCATTTAATTGCGCGTGCTGATTGTAATGCTGGTGTGTTATAGCAATTAGACGTGATTGCAAGTGCAGTGCTCGCCGTTTAAGATTGGTTGCAAGGCCTTGTGATTTTCGTGATCTATTAGTGACAACCGTCGCCTAAAACGCAAAATGCAAGCGATCAAGTGTGTCGTTGTGGGAGATGGGTAAGTTTTAGGAAATCTTTATGTATATTTATATAATAGATTCGTTAAAATTCTTCCTTGTAAGCTATCTGACGTCATGTACTTAGTTACTTTTATGTCGTTTCCAGCGGGTACAAACGACAGACAATTGGAAACACTACGATAGTGCACGTTTTATTTATGAGCTAGCGCTCGTTTGTTTTTCAATATATCAAAAGTAAAACAGGCACAGTTGATTAATCCGTGTTTTTTTCTTCTGGTATTTCTTTGTTTTTATATCATTAAACTTAACAGCATTATGGTGATTTTTATCAAAAAAATACCCACTGTATGCTTTTTTACTTAAGACATTGCATTCAATGTTTTTTTTTTTAAATGCTAACTATACAGGGAAGCAAATTATTTTCAATATGATAAAGCTTTGACAATTGCCTTTGTACTCACATCATATTTGTCCATTTTTATATACTTAGGGATTTACCTAAGAATAAAGATTCAAAAAATCATTACAGTTACAATTGTGATATTCAAACCTGTATATTATTACGTCCGGTTTCTGAAACACCTGATCATTCTGATCATTAAGAAAATCATTTATTCACAGAGTTTATCCACCCTTTTGGCAACTAAAACGAGATTTGAAAACCGGGTGTTAGTCTCAATTACTTTTAACAGAAGCATTCAGCCATGATAAACAAATATTCATATATGCCCTACATAATTTATATACAAATCAAATAAAAAAAAATTAATCAGATAATGTAGGTATAGTGGAAAAACTGTTTTCTTTAGCCTATTATTTGTTTTACAATCGAGTAAAACAATACTATCATTTTATTTTGTTTCTTTCTTAATATCAAATAATTATTTTATTGTTGGTCTCAAAACCATAGTTATTGTTTTGTTAAAGTAAAAATTTTGTATGATGTGATATTGACGTATCATTTGTTAATGAAGAGTGTTTTTCTAATTTATTACACAAATTTTAAGTTCAAATGATTGCTCTAGGTGTGCAATTTATCTGTTTTTAGGATGTGATAAAAAAATTTAATACTCTGTTATGTGGTCAGTGTAATTTCACTCCTAGTAGATAAGTTGCTTGTAGAGAAGGAAATGATAGAATGTTATCATAGCTGGAAAGAAAAAAAAACAATATTTGTTATCCTATTTTTGTACACTCAATATTTTTTCCTTATTATCACAGCAAATTGGTATCTTTTTATACAAAAAATAGATATCTGTGGGACATGGTACAAGTATGAAGTGGTAATAAATGTATTTCTTTATAGTTACATTCCATGATGTATTTCTCTTTAAAATAAATGAAACTTTAATACTTAAATCTATTCTATCCAAAGCTGGATAGAATAGATTTTAAGTGTTCTATTCTTTACTAAATATTTGACATTTTACATTAATTTTAAAAAAGGAGCCCTTTACAAATCTGACTCGCGCACAAAGGCACTTATTATATGTATAAGGCATTATTTATAAAAACGGCTTTAAATTTCACATGTGTCGTATGGGAACCCCACTTAAATATTTTTAGTTTTTTAGTATTTGTTGTTATAGCGGCAACAGATATACATTGTCTGTGAAAATTCCAATGTTTTAACTATCACGGTTCATGAGACAGATGGACAGACAGCGGAGTCTTAGTTAAAACCTAACCTAAAAACGCAAACAAAAAATTTTAACAACATCATTGAATTAAATGTTTTGTTTATATTACCAATTATGTATTAATAACAAGTACCAATAATGATTATGAACATTGACATTTGTCCATGTTTATATTATCTTTCTCTTGAATTAAAACTTGAAATTCTTATTTTAAATCATACTTATCAAAAGCATTTAAAAATCCTCTGTGAGAGTAATTTAATAGATGAAATAACTTTGTTATTAGTATCAGTATGAAGTCTAACTTGCACCTGGCACTGATGTCAGGTAACCTAGGTCCAATAGTCAAGTTTCTTGGAATTGCTATGTATCAAAGTGCAAGGTTTATTGGATGTAATTTGCAGTTAAAATATTGCATTATTACCTTCAAACCAGTTGGCTGTAATTTATTATTTAATAATGTTTCAATGAAGATTGAGATGAGATTAAGATTATAAATTTGGATGATGTTTGATGTAGCATAACGGGACTAGGCAAAAGGCTGAAATGAAAAGAAAATACCCAAATTATTTGTAATTAAAATTGTCATGTTCTAAAAACATGTACCTACATCGAAAATGTGAAATGTAATGATTTATAATGGTAATTTAAATCAGAAGCATAGCATTGTTTGAATGATATGTTGCTAAATCAGCCAGTGTTAAATTTCCTTCAGTGATTAATGCAAAATTTTATAGGATTTATTTTTACACTAATGTGTTTCAAAATATTTTGAAGTGATTTTTAAATAAATGTGGTTTATGCGTTTAGTTCAGTTCATTTGTTTTGAATACTAACAATTGTTTGCATGTTTATTACAGCTACCTGCAACTATTGAAGAATGGAAAGATAAATAATTAGATTATTACTGATGGAAAAATTTGCTGTTGCAAATAATTCTTTAATTAGTTGTAGGCCCTTTGGGCAAAGGTTTTATAAGTTAAATGTGTAAACAAATAAAATATTAATTAATTTAATTAATTAAATGTGTAAACAAATAAAATATTTTTTTGGAGGGTGTCACATACATGAATAATAAATACATACTTTTTAATTAATGGCTGCGTAAATAGGAAGCGAGGTACATTCTGCGTTACACTTAGAAGGCAGCGGAATGCGCGCGGGCGTGCAAGAAAGTCATGGAGATCGTGCGTTGCGTAATTTCATGTTACAATTGTTCGGTCGATAAAAAAAAATGATTTGGCGTCGGCTCGGCCTCGAATTACGAGCAAACAAATTCGGGACGTAAACGCTAATAAAAGCATTATTTATAGGCCATGTAGCCAGTTGTGATGCAAGGACTTTCCGTATTGTTTACGATGCGTTTCTTGGTTCTATTATGATAATTTTGCTTCTGATTTTAATCTGTAACGGTTTTTTACAACCTAAACATAAATTCCTACAAAAAATGCAGTTCTTAGGAAGTCTATGTGTTTTTGTACATACTTACTGTTTAATAAATTCTATTTTTATAATTTGTACTCAATAATCTCATTGGAGAATGGGTAGTTATTGTATTGAGCATATTTATTTCATTTATAGACTTAAATTTAATAGACTTTTTTTTTAAATCAAATCAAATCAATACTCAATATCAATAATCAAATTTCCAGCATATGGCAACATTAAAGGAGCACCGAATCGCACCCGATTTCTTTCGCGAAAACTTTGTTGGCGTCTGCTTCCGATTTGAATGTGGCGCGTACGCAACACGACTCGGCGATATGCGTTTTCGAACGTGATAATCGAGAAACGCCCATCTACCGCCGAATACGGCGATCTTGTCGCTAATCTTGGCGCTTAGAAAGTTGCGCGCGAGTGAGAAAGTGTTGCCAGCCCTGTCTTCTTTACAGCGCAACGGATGTACGGCCCGCTCCCTTAGGTTAACAATTGATTCCTCATTTTTACCGGCATTCCTTTTTTATTGGCTGGCCGGCAGTGCACCTGATGCTTATTACTACCGTCCATCTTCCCATCTTTGTTAAGTAGACTCCGGCTACATTACTTTAACAGGCGACCATAACCTAGAATAATTAAGGTCAGTTCCCTGGCGCCCTGGGTTGATGTAGGAGCTGAACTTACGGGGTGGTGCTCCTATAGTATTTGGTAGTTGAATTTTACGAGGTGGTTATTGCTTTTAGAAAAAAACTGTATACAGTTAGTTATTTCGTTTCAATTAAGGGGCTATTTAATGTTTTATTAAAATATGTATAACTGTAATATAGGTAATTAGAATAATAATAAATTAATTTCTCTATTTTTGGTAAATAACATTTATACAACAAAATGTTAATGTGGAACAAAACATAAGTTATTCTCTATGGTCATCTTTGTAACAGGAATATCTACAACTGTGGACATTTTGAACGCTTTGGTCCCGATGAGAAGTTTGTTCTTTAAAATTGATTAAGGGTAATGTTGTGTACTTGTTAAAATGTTAAAGAAGTGGATATTAGTTTTGTTACGATTTTTCTTTCACCGGCGCGTACGTAGTAATTTGGCACTTAAAATTGCCCAAAATTATCAACAGTTTCTACGGGGCCCTACGAGGATTCGAACTTTGGTTGTCCGGGTGTACTTAATTGAGAAAACGAGCGCCCGGACTCTGAGATGGTAGCTCAGAGTCCGGGTTAGGTTAGGTTATCTCGAGTGATGTGACAGTAGTAGTGAGAGTCACCGGGGCCCACTTTATCGAAATGTTTCAATACATCTGCAAACCTACGGGTGTTGTCACTTACTATCAGGTGAACCGCCATCCATTTCCCTTGTCAGTGCTACCTTCTCACATAAAAAAATATCTATACTTTAATTGCTTGCATTTATCGTTGGCGACACGGTCTCCGCCCTTTCAAATAATACGATTTAAACAATGACGGGCCGTTTTCGAAGCCATTGTTTTACGAAAAAACGAGCTACGAACGAACACCTGGAATCCAGGTGTTTTACAATCTAAATACAATAGGTTTTTTCATAGTTTGTGCGAAAATCTTTTATACCGTCCACGTACTGTTAAATCGAGAAAGCTAAAACAGTAAAACACACGTTTGTTTATAAAATAATAGCTGTTCCGTGCGATTTCATTCGCGAGAAACGATTTTGCTTCGCCCCCGTATGTCGTAACGTGATGGTAAATGGACTATAACCTTCCACACGAATTGGGCTATCAAATGCAAAAAGATTTTTCAAATACGATTGGTAGTTCCAGAGATTAGCGCTTTCAAACAAATAATCTCTTCAGCTTTATTATGTGATAATATCAATATGTATATAGATTATGTATAATAGTTGTTTTTAATGATAGAATTAAGTTTTACACAGCATTGTTGGAATTGTAACGCATACTTCCAAACAAAATCATA